TTGTACCTGGTTCCATGATAGCAGCCTTCCCAGACTGACAGCCAGACAAAACTCTACGCCATGGGATGCACTTCCAGCAAGTCGGAGGTGCACCACGCAGCGCAGAACCGCCACGGCCATGAAGCTCAAAACGGCAACCGGCTCAGCCACATAAAGCAGAGCAGCCAAGTCATGCTTGAGCTCTTCCAGCTCTACGCAAAAGAAGTTCGCCACATGTCCATGACCGACATGAGGTTCTCCCCGGTCCATGTCGCAGCCGAGCACGGGTTAGAGGCCACGCTGAGGCTCATGCATGACCTGGAGTCTCGACCCAGCAGGAAAAATGACCTTGGACCAGCGCATCTTGTACAGTCTTGTCAGCTCAGGTTTTTATTTTGTCCATGACTTATATTTCTTCCATGTCTTTTCACACCTTGGGCTAGTTGCTGCGTCAAATAAGAAGCATGATGGGATTGCCAAGGTCCAACGTCGTCCCCGCTCACAAACCGGACTTCTATGGGTCCGTGTCTCTTGCCGAAGGGCCTGAAGTGAAGACCGTCGTGAGCTTTCCAGGACAATACGAGGATGACTGGGAATGCCTGGTGAGGAGATCCGGCGAAAGGACTCAGCTTGAAAGGACTGTCAAGCAACCTCTTCCAAGCCATACGCCTTACTACAAAGCTGGCAGCACCTCGTGCATCTTTTTACCCAAAGGCAGCCCCTTTCATGGCAGTCACCCTTCGAAGCCGGACGGCTCAGGCAAGTGCTGGTGTGAGGATCTTTATGGCGAAGTTCAAGACTTTGGCTGCATGTGGTTCACAGTGTGGCAGACAAGTCTGCAGAATGCTGTGGATAAGAAGCACACATTAGTGGTTGTCTACAAGGCCGGGCAAAAGGGTCACGGCAAAGAGGGTCTTCATTGGCCTCCGCAAGTCGCCTGCACAAAGGAGAGGCGGGATGATGCTGGCTTGGGTGTTTCACAACGTGGTGAGACAGCGTGGTTGCTCAAACAAGGACACAACTTCATCGAAGAGGACATCAATGACTACCGACGGCGTCTTGCACTAGACTTCTGGTCCGAGCTTCGGCAAACTGTTCATCACCGCCGTGAACAGCTTCAACAAGAGCTCCTTGGACTCATGAAAAGAATGCATATGCTGTCCCTCACCGCACCGCTGAATGGAGGCCTCTCCCCAGCGCGCATTGCAGCTGAAGCAGGCCACGTGCCTGTGCTCCAGCTCCTATACGACCTTGGTGGGGCGGCCCGCAACACCCTCAGCGCATCATGGCAAGAGAAAATTCGTGAAGGCCAGCAGAACCGTCACGGCCATGAAGCTCAAAACGGCAACCGGCTCAGCCACATAGAGCAGAGCGGCCAAGTCATGCTTGAGCTCTTCCAGCTCTACGCAAAAGAAGTTCACCACATGTCCATGACCGACATGAGGTTCTCCCCGGTCCATGTCGCAGCCGAGCACGGGTTAGAGGCCACGCTGAGGCTCATGCATGACCTGGAGTCTCGACCCAGCAGGAAAAATGACCTTGGACCAGCGCATCTTGTACAGTCTTGTCAGCTCAGGTTTTTTTTATTTTGTCCATGACTCATATTTCTTCCATGTCTTTTTCACACCTTGGGCTAGTTGCTGCGTCAAATAAGAAGCATGATGGGATTGCCAAGGTCCAACGTCGTCCCCGCTCACAAACCGGACTTCTATGGGTCCGTGTCTCTTGCCGAAGGGCCTGAAGTGAAGACCGTCGTGAGCTTTCCAGGACAATACGAGGATGACTGGGAATGCCTGGTGAGGAGATCCGGCGAAAGGACTCAGCTTGAAAGGACTGTCAAGCAACCTCTTCCAAGCCATACGCCTTACTACAAAGCTGGCAGCACCTCGTGCATCTTTTTACCCAAAGGCAGCCCCTTTCATGGCAGTCACCCTCCGAAGCCGGACGGCTCAGGCAAGTGCTGGTGTGAGGATCTTTATGGCGAAGTTCAAGACTTTGGCTGCATGTGGTTCACAGTGTGGCAGACAAGTCTGCAGAATGCTGTGGATAAGAAGCACACATTAGTGGTTGTCTACAAGGCCGGGCAAAAGGGTCACGGCAAAGAGGGTCTTCATTGGCCTCCGCAAGTCGCCTGCACAAAGGAGAGGCGGGATGATGCTGGCTTGGGTGTTTCACAACGTGGTGAGACAGCGTGGTTGCTCAAACAAGGACACAACTTCATCGAAGAGGACATCAATGACTACCGACGGCGTCTTGCACTAGACTTCTGGTCCGAGCTACCGGAAACTGTTCATCGCCGCCGTGAGCAGCTTCAACAAGAGCTCCTTGGACTCATGAAAAGAATGCATATGCTGTCCCTCACCGCACCGCTGAATGGAGGCCTCTCCCCAGCGCACTTTGCAGCTGGAGAAGGCCACGTGCCCGTGCTCCAGCTCCTATACGACCTTGGTGGGGCGGCCCGCAGCACCCTCACCGCGACAGACGACTGCGGAGTTTATCCAGCACACCAAGCTGCTCTCAATGGTCACACCAAGGCGCTCCAGCTCCTTGCCCTGGATGAGACAACCCGCCACTCCCTCTTTCAGAAAAACGCCTCGGGGGAAACGCCAGGGGATTGGGGCCATGATGGGGTGAAGAGCCTCTTGGCTCACCTGGGAAGCAAGATTCATGAGACCCGCGATGCAAACACCCACGGGACGATCCAGGACTCGGCAATATGACAAGCATCATCAGGAATGTAGCATCTGTATGTGACTGTATGTGTGTCAAGGGGCTGTCGCACCAGCACCGTACAGAAGCCTAGTTCAAGCCAACGCTGGCATGGCCACGCCATGTCCTGCCGCATTCAGTTTGCTTGTCTTGTAGTGTTTGGCTATATGTGCTTTACCGATGCGCATGTGTTGGGGACTTGCAACGTACAATTCTGGCATAGGTCGTGTCACAAAGTGATACACGGGGCTAATTGTTTCGAAATATTCTGACGCAGGCATTCCGCTGACAAAGTGACGTGCTTGCCGTAACTTGCTGCGGTGCCCTGCACACCACTTCCGCGCATGAACACACGTGCATTACTCGCCTCACTCATGCAATCGCTAGCTCATTGGCAGACTCCGGCCCAGCCGCTGTCAAGGGACATTCACACGTGGGCCGGACTGTATGTGGTCCCGTGCTCCCAGCTCCCACCCTAATCAAGCCCGACCCGCACCCCCGTCCGAATGATCGAAGCCAGGGTCCGAGCGGAGTCGAAGCACAGCAGCCTGGCCATTCGGGGTTTGGGGTTTGAAGGTTAGCCATTGGGGTATCGAGCTTGGCGTTGTCCATGTGAGTGCTAGGGGATTTTGTGATGCGGGCAGAGGGTATCTGACGTTCGGGCTCTGAACTTTCAGCCCGAAGCGTTAGAGTTTTCATTCTCTAGCCCTGCGTAAAATCCCTGGGCCCGAATGAAACCTCAAACTCCAGACCCTAAACCCCAAACCCCGAACCAGAACCTCCTGAACCTTTCAACCTGCTTCCGTTTGTTGAGTATAGGGTGTACAGCAAGGAAAGATGTTGTGTGTATCAAGGTTCTCCTAAACCCTAAATACTATACCCTAAACACCAAACCCCCAAACCCTAAACCCTGAAGCCCAACCCTGAGCCCTTCAGCAGGGTTGCTTGAGCTGCGGTGGACCACAGGCCGAGACGCTGGGCCATGGCTGTGGGCGAGAAAAGCCGTGTCTTACAAGTAGGGTTTAGGGTTTAGAGTTTATGTGTCTTACAAGAACCTCAACTGCAGACATGCGGTGTTTAAGATATTCAGGTTATTACGGCCACCAGGGTTATTATAGGGTTATTAGGGTTAGACCCGCGGTTTTTAAGGTGTTGAAGGTTATTGGGGTTGGTAGCGCTATTAGGGTGATGAAGGTTATTAGGGTTGTTAGGGTTGTTGATTGTTGGGGTTGTTAGGGTTGTTAGGGTTGTTAGGGTTATTCGGGATATTAGGGTTATTAGGGTTACTAGGCTTATCTGAGTGCAACTGCAGACATGCCTTACTTGGAGGTTCATGGGTACTTAGAACCCCAAATGGGTTAAGGCTAAGGGCTTAAGGTTTAGGGGCTAGGGCTAGGGTACATATAACCCCAATAAGAAGTCTACTTTTTCCCAACTTACGGGACTTAGGGGCTAATAAGTACAGTTATAAGTAAGGTTTTACGTGCCCTGAAGCGGCAAGTACCTAACTACAGACTATATGTAGTTTTTTTACACATGTATTCGGGTATAGTTATGATTGCAGATTTCTTTCTGTTGTTGTTCTCACTACATATTCATCTCATACCGTTCTGAGGCCCCCCTCGTTTGGGGTTACACGAAACCCAGACCGAAAGCCTCTAGGGGTTTTTCAGGGTTTAGGGTTTGGGGAAACCCGGACCCAAAACCTCGAGGATTGGGGTTTTAGTTGCACATGATGTTATGTATATATTTGTATATGTTATATGTATTAGTGCGATATTTGGATTTGTATTTATTTGTTCTACGTATATACACACACCCTTTGTCCGAAGATTAAGTTCCTTAAAGCCGAAACCGACATAGCTCCGTCCAACAGCAGATTGCGACTTACACTCCAAGGCTCAAAAGGTCCCTAAGCCCTAAACCCTGAGCCCTGCTAAACTTAAGCCCTCAACTAAACCCCAAAAACTCCCACAAAAGAGTGTTAGAAGAGCAAAGCGTCTGGAGTACTGCAATTGCTTGCATTTCCGAAGCTTACGCGGCTGCAGGTGCCGCCCGTAGCAGAGTCTCGGACCTTACTTGAAGTTGATAATAGATATGCGTGGGGTAATCAGAACCCTAGTTAGCTCTCCTACTGGTAATGCCTAAAACCCGAGTAATTAATAAGCACTCATGAACCTTCGAGCTTATCAATTCTCGGCCAGCAAGATTCGAAGTGTGTAGGTTGGTCTAAATTTGGGGTGTAGGGTTTAGGGTTCAGGGTTTCGCCCTCCCCACTCGCCACAGAAACAAACCGAAGCCTTTTCCACGCGATGCCGGTGTGGCAGAACGTCAACTTGAAGCAGAAGGCCAAAGAATCTCCTGAACCCTATAAACCTTAAACCATAAACCCAAGATTCTGGAAAAAGGGAGGAGGGCATTCAGGCTGACTTTGGGCTTGGAGATTGCTGGCAATGAAGAAAAGATGCTCAGTGTTCAATGCTTCTTTTGCTGCTGTAAGTTCGAACTGGCATTATACCATACTGGATCAAGGCAAACAAGTGTGGCGTTGAGGTGTCATCAGTGCGGTAGAGTCTCTGCAAAGCGAAATATATGGTCCACGGCTCAAGGGGGAAGGCGTTGCTGTTCACACCATAGTAGCTTACACCCTTGGTAACCTTTTGATTTCCCCTTAAACCCTAATCCCTAAACCTTCCCAGTACCCTTAAGCTGTGCCTCAGCCACAAGGGCTCGGGGATAGTTTGGCGTGTTGTCGTGAATTTGGGTCTCTGTTGGCACGTCCGTGCCATGAAGACTCCGAGAAAAACTGGGTACCTATAAATTGGAACTCTTCTCTGGAACTACCCTGAATGAGTGGCACCAAACTACCCGAAGCCCCAATGTGAACACCTCGGATGGACTGACCGGTTCTCTAAACCCTAAACCCGATTAAACCCTAAACCCTAAACCATTTCAGGTGCGTAACATCCCACAAAAGGACCTTGTACCGTTGATAGGCGGCTTATATAAGCAGTGGCTACCCACCTGTGCCTGTCACTGCCCTCTTCAGGCTGGGTGGCCCAAAGAAGCCAAAAACCACCCACCTGTTTAGGGTTTAGGGTTTCGGGTTGACGTCTGAAAGATGACAGGCGATTTTCGAGATCATCCAGCGAGAGGACGGATCTCAAAATGGCTTCCGGTGGTAGGAGTCGAATACCCCTAAGCCCTAAACCATAAACCCTAAAACCTAAACCCTAAGCCCTAATTCCTGGACCCTAAACTTTCGGGCTTACAACCCTAAACTGCCGCTTCTCAGGCCTACGGTCTAGGCTGTCAGGCTGAGGGCGGCCGGCTTATTGGAACCTTAAACCCCAAACCCTCAAAAACCCTCTACACCCTATGCACTAAACCGTTTCTCAGATTTCTGGGAGGATTTCAAAAAGTAGAAGCCCCAGTTAGTACCCTATACTGCTCTTGGGTAATTCTTAGGAACCCTTAGTGTGCGGTTTCGGGTGACAGGACACCGAGAACCTCCCCTACTATTTGAACGACGAGGAGCGGGGCATGCGGGGGTCAGCTCGGTGTAAGGTGGGGTTTAGGGTTTAGGGGTTAGGGTTTAGGGTTTAGGGTTTAGGGTGTGCACTTGGTATCAGGGCAGCTGGGAGTAGGCCTTTGTGCAGGGGTTTCTGGTTGAGAGTGTTGAGTCCCTAAACCCGCCCCCCCCCCGACCCCCCAAAGGCTTCCCTCACAGCTGGGAAGCCTCGGAATTTTGGGTTTTGGGTCCCGAGTTCCCCCTACGCTGGAACCCTGAACCCGAAACCCTAAACCCCAAACCCCAAACCCAAAACCCTAACCCTAAACCCTATGAGGGGAGGGATCCCTAAACCCCAAACCCGAAACCCTAAACCCCAAACCCTGTGATGGGAGGAGCTGGACTTCTTTGTGCGCGGGCTCGCGCCGGGTCCTTGCAGTTTCGGGCTGCAGGGGTGCGTGCTCTAGGACTTAACGCCCTGATGAGACTCCAAAACCCTAAAACCTAAAAGTTTGGGGGGTTTGAGGTTCAGTATGATATCATGGTATGATGATACAATGATATTCTGATATATCATTGTTGGATTGAACAGGGTTTGAGGTCTGGGGTTGAGTGTTGGTTTCGGTCTGGAGCTTAGTGCTGCGGTCTCGCAGTCTACATCCAGATATGAACAACCCCCCCCCCCCCAGCTTAGGGTTTAGGGTTTAAGGGTTTTAGGGTTTAGGTTTTAGTAACCCCTCAATCTCCTAAACCCTCCAACCCCTCAAACCCTCCAACCCTCCAGCCCTCAAGCCCCGACACGTTTAGGGTTAAGGGTTTAGGTTTAGGGTGTTTGGATGCCTTGATCCTGAAAATGCATGGAGACAAGGGACCCCTTGGGAGGATCCAAAAAGTAGATCCCCTTTAAGGGTTCCTAAGAATGACCCCAAAAGGAGCATAGGGCTACTAATTGGGGGGCTCTGCTTTCTAAAAAAACCTCTCAGGCGTCTGGGTTATCTGGGATATTGCATACGGTGACCTTACTTCGCCCTAAGCCAAGCACCCGTCTATACCTAGAAACCCGTAAGCCCTGAATTCTGCCCAGTTGTGGCCCACATGCGAAGACTTACCTGCCCCAGCTCGTGGAGCGGGACCGAAGTAGTTTTTTTGTTTAGGGGTTTCGGGTTTGAGGTTTGGGTGTGTTCGATGTCGTTTTGCTGGGATATGCTGGGGGGGTGGGACCGATTTTCGAGGCTGAAGTTTAATTAGGGTTTAGGGTTTAGGGCTTAGGGTGAAAATTTAGTTTGCACATTTGCGAGTTTAGGATGTTTTCGGGTTCAGGGTTGTAGGGTTTAGGGTCGAATGGGGAGGCTGCTGTGGAGTGACAAGTAGGGTGGCATACCCTAAGTCACATAGTGCGCTTGCCTATCTCTACCCCAGAACCTGCACAAGTAGAGCCTGACTACCCTGGGTGTATTCAGCCACAAACTTCGACTCACAAGCTGCGAAGAAGTTCGGTATGTCCTCCGCAGAAGACTTCGCAAGTCGGAAAAGGCAGTGCTGAGAGCGTTTACTGTAGGGGTCGGACAAATTACTGATAGTGTTGCCTTGTCCCTTTGTAATTTTACTATAATAACCCCCAACACGTGATTCTAATGTCTAAGGCCCCTAAATTACTTGCTTATCGTCCCTTGAAGCGCTGAACCGCGGCCTACATTCAGAACTCCCAAGTTCCTAACCGCCCTTAGGGTTTAGGATTTAGAGTTTAGGGGTGACACAGCTCTGAATAGGACAAGCGCCCGATCTACATCGCGCGCGGGTATGCTCCGCCAACCTACTCGAGAGTCGCCCCTGCCCAAGCACAAGGGGTTTTGCCGCAATTTCCCGACCAGCCGAAACCTAAACTCTTAGGGTAGTTCCATGGTTCCTGAGTATGGGCCTTTAATTGGGGACTCTTCTATACCCCTAATTTCCCCTACGCAGCCCACGGGCCCATACTTCAGGACCCCTTTTGATAAACCAAATCCTCAGTTCGACACCCCAAGCTTCAAAGGAGGCTTGCAATTAGGATGTCTTAGGGCTTCGTGCAGGTGTCTACCCTCAACCCGAAACCTTAAAGCCTAAACTGATCTTGGCAAAGTTTCGTCAACTGCGACTAGAGGGGTTGCCAATCACTTCCGGAAGACCCCCCCCCCCCCCCCCCCTGTGAGCACAACACCCTACATCATCAGAAGGCCCGTGTGGTTTCTTGCTACTACGCCTCCTCAATCTCCTCAACCCTATAAGCCCTAAGCCCAATACCCTAAACCCCACACCACCCCAAAGGGACCTTTACTTCTGTCTTCTGGCATGGTGCACGCAGCAGCCTCAATCCTAGCCAAGAAACCTTACGAGATCTTCACAGGGTTTAGGGTTTAGGGTTTAGGGTTTAGGTTTTAGGGTTTAGGGTTCTCTTTCATACCTTGGCCTATCGCAGTTGAAGCGGTGGCCGGTTCAACTCAAAATCCAACCCCCCCCCCCCCAGTTTTGGGGGTTGTTTTTTGTTGCCCTAAACCCTAAATCCTAAACCTCAAATTCTAAACCCTGAATCCTAAACCCAAAATTTTAAAATCCGAAACCCTAACCCTAAGTCCCAAACCCACAACCACCCCAGAGGGGCCCAAATGTCGAGCGCCGCAACAGTGCCCCAGTGGAGGTGAAGCTTCGATTCTATGGCTCTTTGCTCGGAGGGGAGGGGTTCAGGGTTTATGGTTTAGGGTTTAGGGTTTAGGGTTATGGGGTTAGGGTTGAGGGTTGAGGCAGGGTTTAGGGTTTAGGGTTTAGTTTGTTTTTGGTTTAGGGTTTAGGGTTTAGGGTTTAGGGTTTAGGGTTTAGGGGGTAGGGTTTAGGGTTTAGGATTTATGGTTTATGGGGTTAGGGTTCAGTTCTCTGAATGCGAGTTGGGGTGTGCGGCCTAGTGTTGAGGGAGGTTCTCGACTTCATGCTTGTGTGGCCCCCTAAATACGATCCTCCGTATTCAAAAGCAAGAAGAGCCCCACGTGAGCCCGGAACATAATGTTGGACCATTGGCCATGTCAGTGCAAGGTTGGGAGTTTTAATGGTTTAGGGTTTTGGGTTTGGTTTGGAAGTATGGGATTTTGTGGGGTTCAAGTTTGGAGGATTCGGAGCTTAGGTTTTTTTTACATGAATCTTGTGATAAGTTCTGATACTAGCCCTTCTCCTTGTTGGAATCTGGGTTCCTAGAGTTCCTTGCAACCAGAGCCCCCCAAAAGAAGCTTAACCCAACAACAGCTCATATGGTGGTTTCCGAAAATAACGCAACCCTACGATAGACCCCCCCACATAGCAGGATCCCCTTACCATCAGGACCCCAACAAGGTACCCCTATTTCGGAAACCCCCATATCTAGGGCGGCGGGCCCTGGACATTGAACTGCGATGCCCTAAACCCTAAACCCTGGTTTAGGGTTTCGGGTTTAGGGTTTATAGGGCTTAGGGTCTATAGGATTTACCCTGACATTTGCGGACGAGGCAGATGGGTTCAGATCCTTGATGCCCTTTACGATCTAAAGTCATATGAAGCAGGGTTTATGTTACCGTTATTGGTGGGTGTATATATTGGGTGTCCTTTTGGTGATACAAGATATATATATATATATGTGTATATATATATATATACCCTACTTCATATCAGCTTAAGCCTAATTTAAGGGTTCAGTGTTTAGGGCTGAGGGTCCGGGACCAAGAGCCAGAAAGGCCCAAACCCTGAGGCCCTAAACGCCGACGAAAGCCCCAAGACCCCCAAAGCCCCAAAAACCCTAAGACCCAAATTCAAACAAAGACCTGCAGAGACTGAAGCCTTCAAAGCACTGCTTGAATGGTTTCGGGTTGAGGGTTTAGGGTTTAGTTTTTCGGGTTCATGAGTATTTCTAAGGTGGGCTGCACCTATCGCCTTCTATGAACCATACTCAGGCACCCTCAGCCTAAACGCAAAACCCTAAGCCCTGTGGAACCACATCCCTCCCTCCCCTAAACCCTGTAAGCCCTAAACCCTAAGCCCTAAGCCCTAAACCCTAAACCCTAAACCCTAACCCCCTCCATTCTCCAGGCCCAGACCCGCTGATGAAGGATGGAGGGCGCTCCCGTCCTCGCTTCCCGTTGGTGGTTACGGGTTTTGGCCTCAGTTTGGTCTGGGTAGTGTTTATAGAACTCGTATAGAGTTTGGGCCCAAGAACGTTCTGAACGAAAGTTTTGAGCGTTTTTTTTGGATGATTCTATCTTTCTTTCTTGTTTATTTTTCTTTTTTGGGGGGCGGGGGCCACCTCGCGTTCCTTGCTATTCCGCATCCTGGCCAGTGCGCATGCCTCCTGTCACCTTTGCTCCTGGTGGTTCGGGCTTAGTTTGGGTACTTTTTCAGCTTTTGTGGGGGGGGGGGGGGGAGCTTTTTCTTGCGGGCTTTCCTGGGAATCTTCCGGGCGCCGCTTTGGTTTTCGCAGGCTTTCTCAAGTCCCCTGCCCTGGGACTTCTTTCTACCATGTGGGGGGCTTAAACCCCAAACCCCAAACCCCAAACCCTAAACCCTAAACCCTAAAACCCTAACAGGAGGGGGGGATGGGCCTTCCCAGAGGCTTCCAGGGATCTTTGTGCTTCTCCGGGCAAGTTGCTTTTTGGGGGAGCTTTATGGGTCCCCCCCATACATTTCTGCGAGGCTTAGGGTTTAGGATTGAGGGTTTAGGAATACTGAATACACTTTATGAATCTACACACTGAGTTGACTATTACAGCTTGTTTTGATTTGGTGCGAGAGAGAGAGAGAGAGAGTGTGTGTGTGTGGCTTCTATGATTTCAGCCTATCAAGCATTTCCATGCATTGAATGTTTTGGGAAAGATTTGGCAAGATCTCAGATTTCAAGGCAGGATCTGAAATTCAAGAAATGAAAGAGGATGCTGAGGACAAATTTTCCGCGAAGACCTCATGAAGGCGAAATTTGGATCTCAGATTCTCGAGAATCTCTAATATGAGGCATATCTCAAAATCTACGAGGTTAATGAATATTTCCAGCTCTTGGTTGGCGTGCGACAAAGCTCTGTTGTAAAACGTGTTGTCCTTTGAGGGAGCTGGTTTCGTCGGCCACGCGCAACTGGTGCAGCGGGGCATATGCAGGTACTTCCACTCCGAAACCCAGCCAACGACCCGCGTTCCCAGGCAACAATCAACAGCTGGTTATTACACCTTTGTGTCGCGACTGTTGTGCTCATGAGGAGTCAAATCGGACCATGCAGGATGCCAGGCGAGGGGAAGCCGGTAGAAGCCTTTCTTGAGCTAGCCCTCCACACGTCAAGGCGGTACGAGTTGACTCCCCTTCAAGCCGCGCACCTCATAGCCGCCAAGATGAGAGGCCTGGCAGTGAGATGACATTGTAAGCCTCTTTCTGTGCCATGGCCTGCCCGGGCACTTAAAAACGCTCAAAAAGCTTGAAACGCTCAAGACGCTCACAACGCCCTCGCAGGATGTGGTGAGCCCCGGCCAAAGCTCGGGGGATGTGCTCCGGCTGATTCCGGCTGACTATCCTTTTTCGTTTTTTGTTGTCTTGCTTTCCAGCTTGGCCCGCGAAGCGTAGTCACGCTAGGTCCAGATGCTGTCGTCGCCTGCGGTGGGCTTCACGCAAGACGCTTTCCTCGCGCACCATTTCATTAGTGGCGACTTCTTCGTGGTCGGGCCAGATAGTGAGGCCCGCTAGATGTCTCGACCACTAATGAAAGTTTCTGACAACCTTTGTTGGTGTCTCTTGCTTGAAGGTCCGTTTTGACCGATTGTTCACTTCGAAAGACGATTACGTCACTCCGCTTATTTCAGCAGCTTGTGATGCGGTGCGTTGGCCGAGGCAAAAAGCCGGACTTCACGTGCCAGCACATCCACACCTAGGGGCGTGCCCAGCACTCAGAGACATCTGCAAACTGACGAGTGTTCTCACGAAAAGCAGTTCGTGCAGTTCTAGCTACTCAGCACACTTGCTTTTTGGATCAAGTGAGAGGATCCTGAAGTTGCAAAGAGTGTGAAAGGCCTGAGGCAGATCCACACACCTGTATGAGTAGAGCAGCGTGCGGGATGCCGTGCCCACTTGGAAGAAAACAGGTCGGTGACCTGACCGTCGAGCAGTCAAGCTCGTGGGCCTGGATGATGCAGGCGAAATTGATTTTCTCATAATTAATTATCAGAAATGATCTGAGATGCTTTCGGCCTTCTCAAAGAGGATTGGCGTAGATGCGTGGCTGTCAGTTTGATGCTGCATTTCGCATGGCTTGCAACACGCTTAGCTCCGTTGTTTGCGAAAACCTCACACCCGTGGCCCATGCCGCTTCCCAAAGTCCGTGTGACCGCCCTCCGATTTAATTTCTGCGTGGCTGGCATAGCTTCGCCTGCCGCGAGTGCTGCCTGCTGCACGTGTGCATTGGCGCCTACAAAACTGGTGCTTCAAGGGCCTCGAGATCTTTTTCGAAAATTCCGAGCAGGCCGAGAAGCCCTGCGTCTCACGCGGAAGCGCCATCTGTTTTTATGTTTGGACGCGTAGGATTTCAGACATAGGCCTGTGTCACTGCTCATTTGAACCTTGACTTTCAAGTTCCAAGGAGGCCGAGACGCTCGTCACGCCAGCGCTGGTGAATAGGCCTGCCGTCGTGCTTCTTGTCTGGGATGCCGGCAGCAGCTGCACGCAGGTGGCTTGGCGAAAATTGTCACGTCCTGAATCTATCAGGTAAATTGGAGGGTGTGGGGTGGGACGATGTTGACTCTAGTGGTAGTTGCGAGGGTGGGTGGTGATAGATGCGCGGTCGGTGCGTTATAGATATCCGTCTGTATGAGCGTGCTTTCTCTGAAGCGCGCGTCTTTCGGAGAGTTCCCCTGAGGCCATCCAAGCTGTCGCGGCAGCCAAGCGTACGTATGCTGACTGCAGCAGCGGAGAAGAGCCCCTTCAAAATATTGCAGTATCATATTCGCTGTATGCCTTCTTTTCATCACGCTGTCTTTGTTTCTCGCCCTGCGAACATGTCCAGGCCTCAGTTTTCTTCGGTGAGAAGTTTACATACAAACTTGGGTTGATGCAACCAGCGGTTCCTGCAGGTCTGCGGGCCAAAACTGGCTGAGGCTGCTTCTCTCTTAAAAATGGGCGGCAGTTTTATTTGATGAAAGGGAGGAATTGCTGGCTGATGTTGATGATGCTTGCGCTTGTTCTTTCCCTTGATGCCCGGCAAGAGGCCAGCTGATGGTGATGGTGTTGGGTCTTCTGGCTCTCTTCGGGGTCTGGCAAGGAGCCAGCTGACATGAAGGTTCAGGTGCTTTTTAAACCCAGACAGGAAGCTGCACGAGTTGAAAGACATGATATTTTCATATTTTCCTTGAAGGTTTGGGATTGATGGGCCCAGGGTGACCCCTTGTTGTTTACCTTGTTCTTTTGAAGCGGTCCTGAAGAGCTCTGAATGTTCAGGGGTGTAGGGCTTTATAAGGTTCAGGGGTTGAGGGGCTTGGGTGGCTCTAGGATGCTAAGTGCTCCAGGGCGTGTAAGCTTTCCAGACTCCCAGAAGCTCCGCCAAAACACTTCCCCCCCTGCCCACCCCCCAAAACAAACAAGGAAAAAACTTCAACGCGATAATCCCCTCCCAACTCACGCCCTGCAGCCCACAAGAAGTACCTTCCGGCCCTATTTAGCCCGCCACACCCTTCGCCCCAGGCATCCCCCCCGAGAACTCGTTGCCAGGTCCAACTGGCCGGCAGGGCACGAAGGTGCAAGAAGCCTTCAGGGCACACCCTACACCCTTAACCATAAACCTGCGTTGCGCACTTGTCGGGTTCAGGGTCGTTTTGTTGGCACTGTTGCTTGGGCTTCAGGGTTTGGGGCTTGGTCCTCTTTAGGGTTCAGAGTTTGTTGTTTTTTTGGGGGGTCGGACTTTGGGTTTTACGGCTTTAGGTTCGCGGCCTTGCTGTCAGGCCGATGGGCTTTGGGCGCCGAAAAACAGGCGTCGGTGGACACACAAGTCGCGGATCATGCGGGAACGTGCCCACTGTAGGGCTCTGGGCTGCTCAGGGCTTTACGTAGAATGTCGGTATGCGAAGCAGTTGAAGTCCATGAAGGGCGCGTTCTTGCTCGGATTTGCTCGGATGCAAGAAGAGGGCGGAGATGGTCAGCCCTTCGACTTGCCACCACCATTTGCCATCGCACCCTGCTCGGAAAGGATGCCGGGGCTCGCTTGGTTGGACTGCGCCCAAATTAAACTTTGTGGTACTTTACTGTAACTTTAGATCCTTACCCTTTTTGGGTTTATTGGGTTTCTATTTAAGGCAGCTAAAAGTTTAATTTATAGCTCCCCTCCTGAGTGCAGCCAAGATTAAAGCTCAAATTATGGGCAAGAGTGACTCGGGTGGACAGGGATTGCACGTCAACCAGGGTAAGCATTCAATTAGGGCCTTAGGGTCTGGGGTTTAGGGACCCAAGTCCTAAACCCTTGCTTCAAACCGTGAAGCGCTACAAACCCCTAACTTGTCCCTAAACCCTAAACCCTAAACCCTAAACCCTAAACCCTAAACCCTAAACCCTAAACCCTAAACCCCTCGGTGCGGCATCCATTTCCTCTGAAAGGCGCCCCTTTCCACGCCGCCTGGATGTCTAGAAAAAGCTACCCGAAAACAGTGTCATTCTACATCAGTACGCCCGCACAATACCAGAAGCCCCGAACCCCAAACCCCAAGATCCGACACCCCAAACGGTAAAGCCCTAAACCCAAATTCATCCGGCCCCTATAGCAGATTGTATTCTTCCTCACTTATAAGGGCACGCTGGGGGATGATTATATCTTTTCGTGTCTGAGGGTTCTTAAGCAACTCGTCGTAGAATAGTCGGCTGTCGGGGAACCTTGGCTTAACTGACAATGAAGAGACTTGCAAGGTGAGCTCCTGGAGTATGTCGTCGGATGGAGATGGCTTTATGCGTGGCCCGCTCGAGTTTTCCTTGGAGTTGCTGTTCAGACTGAAGCTCAAAACAAAGAAGTCATATTCATAGTCATAGTCAGAATAACAAGATCAGAACAACAACAAACAATACAAGGCATAATCGTGATCATAGCAAGAATCGAAATTAGAATCAAAATACTAATCATAGTAGTGATTTAAAAAGCCCCGAAGCCTAAAAGCCACAACTGCAGGTACTGGGACGGCCCCCTTGTGGATGAGGCTGGTCACACCCTGAACTACTTGGCGACTCCTGTGTCTTCTTCTCAAGCCACAAACGCTGTAAGCCCTAAACTCGAAAACTGGACCCTAATCTCCAAGCTCTCTAAACCCGACTGCAACTTCCTGAGCCCCACAAGTCCTACAAGACCTAAACCCTAAACCGTAAACCGTAAACCCTAAACCCTAAACCCTAAACCCTAAACCCTAAACCCTAAACCCTACCAGGTCCATGAGGCATGGAAAATCCAGCAGTGGCCGGACATCGCCCGGATTGCCAGCATCTCGGGGAAGACGCTCTGGGTGTAGGGTTTCGGGTTTAGGGTTCGGGTTTAAGGTTAGCGTTTTCCGTTCCAGTGGGCTTTCTGCTTTATGCGTGTTGGGGGGAAGGGGGACGGGGAGGGTGATGTGAGGATGGCACGCGCTCTAAATTCCGGGCCCTCGTTTTGGGTGGGCCACCAAACTACTGGGAGTACAGTGCAAGAAGTGCCGAACAAGGGCATATCATCGCGACTGCAGCTTTGAAGACTTGCGCGTTCCAGCTACACTATCTCGTCGCTGGCATTGCTAGGCTTTTGAGAGTAGCTTTGGCGCGGCAGCCATTGCTGCCAATATGTTCATAGTGGGCTAAGTTCAGGTGGCTGTCGCTAGCATCGTGGGTTCACAGCGGTCCTGCCCCTTCCCCTTCCGTTTTCTGGTTCCTAATGTTTGTGCTGATGAGGGTTGTGACAAGCTCGACAGCTCAGATCCTAAGCCGAAAACTTACCCAACCCGGCGTACCCGTTCGCATGGGCAACCTCACTTGTCATTTTATGTTTTGTTTATTTGGGCTGGGGTGTCAGGCACATGAAGAGGGCTAAATCAGCCTGAAGAAGCCTCGAATGCTACTACTCACTGAAGAACCCTTTAAAAGACGAATCAGCCCTATATTGCCCGTATAAGGAAGAATACTTGCTGTTTTTCCGGTGGTTCTTAAGCAAATGGTCGAATAAGGCTTTGCTATCTGTTCATGGTCCCGCAAGAGTCCTGGAGTTCTTCTGCATGGGCCCCCGAAAGCCAACCCTTAAACAAACCCTAAACTGTACACCGTAAACCCGAAGCCCTAAACCCTCAACCCTAAACCCTAAACCCTAAACCCTAAACCCTAAACCCCCCCTAAGCCCTCATATGACCAACAGAAGCTGAGGACTGGACCTGGGAAGGTCTACGCTTCGTAACGCCGCCGTACTGGGCGCCTCGGATCTTTGCTGACTGCGGGGCTCGGGGGCTTGAGGCCTCAAGCCTCTAGAATTTTAGAACGTAGTAGGGTTTAGGGTTTAGGGTTTAGGGTTTAGGGTTTAGGGTTTAGGGTGAACCCTTGAAACTTGGGATGCTCCTCCTTCTAGTAATAGTCCTTAGAAGGCATTATTGTAGAGGGTACCACAATCCAAATTAAGGACTGGTAGTATAAGGGGGAACATCCCAACTATTAAACCCTAAATCCCAACGTGTCCTAAACCCTAAACCCTGGTGTCTATACATATATATGTATATATGCTCGCCCCCCCTCCCAAGATCCACCCACCCTTCCGAGTGCTTGTAGAGTGTTCACTTTCCTGACGTCTACTATCGGGTTAAGGTTTAAAGGCTTAGGGTTTTAAGATTTGGGCATTTAAACATAAGCCGGCAATTGCACTTAAGCCCTTCACCTGTAAAACTTTATGGGGTGAAGGTTTAAAGGTTTAGGGTTTCAGATTTATAAGGTTCAGGCATTTAAGATATGTATGAGTTGGTATCTAAATCTTGGTTTGAAGGAATTTTTGTCACATAACGCATTGCTTATAAGCAATAAATTTGCTTGTAAAAGGGGCCAGGGGGGGGGGGTCAGGGGTGGACCCTTGAACACCCCACCCTGCCCCCCTCGCTGCGCTCCTGTTTTTGTTTCAATTATTACTCTCTTATATAGTACCCTAGTGGTTAAGGGTTTAGGGCTTCCAAGAGAAGCCCCGAAACCCTGTAGGGTTTAGCAATTAAGCCTCATCCCTTAACCTGTAAACACTATAAGGTTCAGTTTGACGGTGTTAGGGTAAGACTTTGACATTTAAACCCAAGCCGCGCAATTAAAACTTAATTCCTAACTTTAAAGCCCTATAGAGTTAAGGTTTAAGGGTATAAGGCTTAGGCATTTTACGCCTAAACTCATAGAGTTGTTTTAAGGGTCTGAAGGGCGCTGAAGGTATACATGCCCAGACCATAGATTTTTGAACTAGTAAACCCTATAGGGTTTAAAGGTGCAGGGTTTAAGGTTTGGGCAGACTTATACGATTAGAAGCTTATAACCCTATGGGGCTTGAGGCTTCAATCCCTAAACCTTACATCTCACAGGGGTATGCCTATGTTTGTAGGGATTGCGCCCCGGGGAACGCGGGAATACTGTGAGCAAATTTCCTTTCACTACATCCGGGGATTCTCAAGATATGAACAAACCAATCGACATATGATAGAATTCATATCGGGGGATGAATGCTTGAGATATCTTAGCTATGGTATAGTTTTTAGGATAGTGTTCTGTGTTGCTTATTGGGGTGTGATGGCTTAAGGTATGATAGCTCAGGTACAGTGTTTAGTATAGAGTTCAGGTTTTGCTTATGGGGGGATGATTGCTTGAGATATGCTCGCGAAGTTATAGTCTTTAGGGCTGATTGCTGAAGATACTGCATGACCTCGAGGAGATAGATACCTCTGGAAAAAAAATTGGGTTTTAGGGACAGTACAGCACATCATTGGTACCTGCAAGCAAAAAAATAAGGACAGTACAGCACTTCTGCAGTCCGAAGAGGCGAAAGTGCTGTACTGTCCCTATTTTCTCGTCCCCAGGCAAGCAAAAAATAGGGACAGTACAGCACTTCTGCAGTCTCCAGATGCGAAAGTGCTGTACTGTCCCTATTTTTTGCTTCCAGGTACCAATAAAGTGCCGTACTGTCCCTAAAAAACCTAAAAAACCAATCTTTTGGGAACTACCGGGGGCTCCAGGGCTGGTAGTGCAGGAAAGATTGGTTTTTTAGGTATTTTAGGGACAGTACAGCACTTTTTTGGTACCTGCAAGCAAAAAATAGGGACAGTACAGCACTTCTGCAGTCCGGACAGGCGAAAGTGCTGTACTGTCCCTATTTCATGGGTTTCAGGCAAGCCATATTCGCACTTCGCAGACACACACACACACACACACACACCACACACACACACACACACACACACACACACTCACACACACACACACACACACACACACACACACCCACACACACACACACACACACACACACCCACCCACGCACACACACACACACATCGCCATAAGAACTCGGTAACACCAGAAACCAACCACCGGATCCTGGTAGTCCATTTCTGGCATCTGCGTGTACGCATCGTTGCAACAAAGAAGTCTGAAACAATCGTTTTAAGAGGACAACCCTCGGTATTTGCAGCGTTTTCTGCATCTGCATGTACAACAAAGAGTATATACATGGAGTGAGACGAGTATGAAAAACCTTAGGGGTGGATCTTGGGCGGGGGGGCGACCACATATATATATATATATATACAGACTATACAGAACATACACATTTGTTTGTTTATTATGTGTTTACCAATTTATATGCAAACACAAACCCTATAAACCCTGAATCCCAGACCCTACATAAACCCGAAACCCTGTAAACCCCAAGCCGTATAAGCCTTCTAAGCCCTAAACCCGAAACCCTACAAGCCCCAATCCCTTTAAACCCTGAAGTCTAAGAACCCTCTGTAAACCCTAAACCCTAAACCCTAAACCCGATTAACGGTTCTTGGGGTTCAGGGCCCGCAGGCGCTGTTTTAGGCATCGGGGTGAGGAGATCCGAGGTCCGTGCTTAGGGTTGAGGTGTTTAGGGTTTAGGGGTTAGGGGTTTAGGGTTTAGGGTTTAGGGGTTTAGGGGTTTAGGGTTTAGGGTTTAGGGTTTAGGGTTTAGGGTTTAGGGTTTGGGGCTTTGGGTTTCTGAAGGTCGGAGCGCAGTTCCATTGCCTGCCGCCCATTTGACCTTCTACTGCAGGCCCAGACATACTTAGGGGCCTTAGTCGGGGGGCTCATAGGTACGGCTAGAATTGCGGTTGTAAGAACCAATGAACCTCTTTTTTTCTGTATCTGGAGGTGCCCGAGGATGGGCGACCTTGGCGAAAAGCACGTGCCGAGGCTTCGTCTTAGGCATTTTTTAAGTTTAGGGTTTAGGGTTTAGGTTTAGGGTTTAGATTTTAGAGGTTGGGGCAACGTTTTTGGGCCGTAGGGTCTTTATGCCTTAGAGAGCTCCAGCGTTTTTTTAGTTACGGTTTTAGGGTCTATTGGGTTTCAGGGTATCGGGGCTTCTGCTGGACGTTCTAGGCTTCGCCAACTTGCAGTACCTTTGCTGCCTGAACCCTCATTCCTAAACCCAAGCCCTAAACCCTAAACCCTAAACCCTAAACCCTAAACCCTAAACCCTAAACCCTAAACCCTAAACCCTAAACCCTAAACCCTAAACCCTACTAACCCTAAACCCTAAACCCTAAACCCTAAACCCTAAACCCTAAACCCTAAACCCTAAACCCTAAACCCTAAACCCTAAACCCGAAATGCCAGGAGGTGCAGGGTGAAGGGACGGGCCTGCGTGACTGACTAGGCTTTAGGCTGGCTGGTTCTTAATAGGAATGAGGTTAGGGTTTAGGGTGTAGGGTTAGGGTTTAGGGTTTAGGGTTTAGGGTTTAGGGTTTAGGGTTTAGGGTTTAGGGTTTAGGGTTTAGGGTTTAGGGTTTAGGGTTTAGGGTTTAGGGTTTAGGGTTTAGGGTTTAGGGTTTAGGGTTTAGGGTTTAGGGTTTAGGGTTTAGGGTTAGGGTTTAGGGTTTAGGGTTTAGGGTTTAGGGTTTAGGGTTTAGGGTTTAGGGTTTAGGGTTTAGGGTTTAGGGTTTAGGGTTCGGGTTTAGGGTTTAGGGTTTAGGGTTTACGGTTGAGGGTTGAGAGTTTAGGGTTTACGGCTTAGGGTTTAGGAATTAGGGTTTAGGGTTTAGGAGGGAATGAGGTAACCTACATAGTCCCTTCAAGCGTCTGTATGGGGCCCTCATTCCCTCATTCCCTACGAAGAACCAGGGGGGGTGAGGATCACGAGGGGTTGGGGATTCACCCTAAACCCTAAACCTAAACCATAAACCCTAAACCCTAAACCCTAAACCCTAAACCCTAAACCCTAAACCCTAAACCCTAAACCCTAAACCCTAAACCCTAAACCCTAACCCTAAACCGTCAATAAGGTTTCGAGGATGGGAGAGGGAGCCTGAAAGCCCTGTGGAAGTACCAGGGAGGTATCGGTACCTACCGCCCCTTCATGAAACCCCCTCCCTTAAGGGCGATCCCCAAACCCTAAACCCCAGCCCCCTAACCCTAAGCCCCAAACCCTAAACCCTAAACCCTAAACCTCGAAGGCTCCCCCGGTGCCCTCGTAGAAGGCCTTCTCCGACTGCAACCCTCAACCCTTTGTCCCGCCTAGGTAGGACTTTGGGATGTTGCATATTTCTCCTTGGGATGGATTTCGGGTTTAGGGTTTAGGTTTAGGGGTTTCGGGTTTCGGGTTTAGGGTTTAGGGTTTAGTGTTGGTTATGTTTGAGAATATCTTTATTTCAGATTGCTACCTAAAGAGCCAACCCAGAAGCCCTAAAGCCTAAACTGCAAGCTTGTCTCTCGAATCCACGACTGCCACGCGCTTGCAAGCACCCAAGCTCCACCGAAGGGGAGATCATAGCAGTCCTTAATAGGGTTTAGGGTTTAGGGTTTCCCCCTTATAATGACAATCCTAAATAGGATTATAATTGAGGACACTATGATCACTATGAAGGGCTGTTAGTATAAGGTGGAACATCCCAAACCCTGACCATGAACCTTAAGCCCCTGAAGCTTTGAGATCAACTTCGTTCTCTATGCAGAATCCCACAGGAGCCGCCCCCTCGTCAACAGAACCCTTTGAGGGTTTAGGGTTTAGGGTTTAGGGTTGAGGGTTTAGGGTTTAGGGTTTAGGGTTTAGGATTGAGGGCTTAGAACCCCACATCCCCAAAACCCTAACTCCCCAAACTGCAGGTAAAGGCAAGGGCAAAGGCGCCAAAGCACCTGGTGGATATGCGCCTGCCTGAAAAAGCCAGGAACCAGAGCGTTGGTCTTTGTGAGGCCTTGCAGCTTTGAAGTTGTTTTTTGTTTTTTTTAGATATCTTGAGGGTTTGATAGTGAGAGCCAGGGTGTTAGCGTGTTAGGGTGGTTGCCTCAAATTAGGGTGCGCTCGGAAGTTGTCGCATTCGAGTCTCGAACTCTTGTTGCTTCACAACCAGTAGACTCATGTTGCTATGATGCCACATCTTGATTGCTTGTCTAAACGTTGCCGAGACTTTTCTAGCATGCTCCACGATTTTGATTTAATCTGGTTGTTTCTTCTTCCTTGGTGCATCGGTTATGTCCTGTGGTGTAGCAAATGCAGCAGTTTTTTGGGTTTTTGCACCGAACAGCATCAGGCACTCGGCATACAGCGTGGGGAGGCAGGGACCTCAATAAGACTGAGGGTCCTTGATGAGGGGTATTGGGCTTCCTGGGCGAAGCCATCTGCCTGCACGCCTCTGCGCAACCCTCAAGCTTTGAAAAACCTTGAGTTTGCCCCACAAACCCTGCAAGCTCCAAAAGCCCTAGAAAGTGATCACCTCATGTGAACCCGAAACACGAAGCTCTAAAGCCCCAACCCCTGGTACCCCAAAGCCCGAAACCCTTTAAACCCGAAAACCCCTTAAAGCCCCAAAAATACTGTGCCCGGCTTACGGATTTAGGACCTTTGTGCTCTGTCTCATGTGTTTAGCTGGCTGGCCGTTTCTTCCTGAATGCCCCGACACCCTAAACAGAGAGAAACCCCAGAGCCAAATTAAGGCCCTCGACACTGAATGAGCATTCAATTCGAGACAACTGAGCTAAACAACCACTCCACACCCTGAACCTCAACCCTACACCGCCCCTGCAGATTTCGGCTTGTGCAGGGGCATCACCACCAAATGTCTTCAAGCCTCTGATCTCGCAACCTGCAGCCCCAACCCAAAGACGCAAAGCCCCCTCATCCAAACCTTGAACTTAAATCCCCAAAACACCCACCCCCACCCCCCCAAACCCCTGCTCCGTAGTTTCGAAGCCACTGGGCTGTGATGGCTCGGCCTTCTCAGTCGGAAGAGTTGCCGCGGGAGGGCATAGAGTTGGCGTCAAAGCCATCTCAAGAGGAAGAGGCACAGTGATGTGGTTTCGAGTTCTGGTTTGGCTGAGGGTCCAAGGCGTTGGCTTGAGTCACTTTGAGAACACTGGGCTTGAAATTCCAGAAGGTTTATACATGTTTGGTGTTCAGGATGCACGCATTGAAGGCTTCAGGCTTTGCACTTTTTGACTGTGGCCAAAGGCATGCGCGCCGCGGCGGCGGTCCACCATCGCGGAGAACGATTCTCTTCCCTCAGTTGTATGGCTTTGGCTGGATGGGGGGCAGGGCTTTGGGGCTTTGACATAGCTGCAACTGTCAGGTTGTTCTGCCACAAGATTCCTTAGACCCGCGTTTTGGCACAGGATGCGTAGAGTCTACTGAAACAGCAAGTCGGACGGACAGTCTTGGTATCTTTTGTGACTTCCGACCTGAAAAAGAGGTTAGGCTTTTCTGCGCCAGTCAAGTCATGATCGAAGGATGTGGGAAACCTTGACAATCAAATCACTGGAAAGGCCAAAAGGGCCAGACTGGCAGTCAGACTGGCATTGGGCATGTACACTTTGGGGCGAATTTTGGCGAACGTGGCTGTTTCTGGAGGCTTTTCGCTTGTCTCGCTTGACGGCATTGCCAGGCCTCTCATCACTGGATTGGGACTCTGGTCCTTCCTGTACAATGAACGTTTTTGTGCTGAATGGCAGCAGCATGTTTGGAGCTGGCGCCAGGTGCTTCTGCTGTCCGTGTTCCTATTTGATGAGAGTTGCTTTGCCCTGGGAACAGTCAATTCTTTTTCCATGCTCTTCCTTTGGCAGCTTGGCTCCAATATGATCTACCTGTTTCTGACCAACCTCATGCTGGAGTCATTGGCGTGGGATAGAGTGGCTCGAATTGGCAATCTAGCTCTGCCAGTGGTTGCGGCCGCGGGAGCTCTGGGCGCGACTCTCTGCGTTCTCGGTTCTAGAGGCATAGCCAATCTGACCGCGGTTGCTGCCTTAAACCTCTGCATGTGGCTGGACTTGCTTATTGCGCTACTGCAGCTTTCCTGCCTTGCAGTGGCAGCCACACAGGCTTTTCACATTGCTGGGCGTCAGGATGTTGAAGCCGTCAGACGGCGTGGTTGGCACATAGTGTTCGTTCTTGTCTTGACCGCAGCCGGATCAGTTGCAAGTCTTGGCGCCTTGAGCTGCTCACAGCAGAACATGGTATCCCTGCTTGCAAGTCACCACTGCTCCATGACGATGGTGACAGCTAGCATTGGTCTTCTAATCTGTAGAGCTGTGCTGCTCAGCGGAATGGTAGGGCCGCAACTTCGGATGCACACGACCACAGCCTTCGGATCCAGAGTGTTTGGGCCCAGGGCATGGGTCAGGCTCATGGAAGCTTCGGAACTTCTTTCCCAGATGTATGGCTTCAATGTCCATTTGTCTCATGATGTCACGAGACTTATTTCCTTCCAAGGGAGGATAAATCATTCGGCCAGCGACTGCATTGTTTCATTTCCCGGCATGTATGCCAAGCTGTGGGATGAAGCAGTCTCAGGTTGCTTTGAAGAGGACCTGCCCTCTGTGGCCTGCGTCTTCTTGACAGATGGCGAATTTGGATTGGGCCAGCACTGTAAGAACCCAGAGCAGCCAGGCAGATGTTGGTGTCAAGAAATTTATGGCAAGTTACCGGCATACTTGTATCTCGCGGTTCGAGACATCACAGGCGAATCATTCGTCAATGGCAACCTGTTATCCGTCGCAAGGGCTCGTGCACAGGCCATGGGTCAGCATTTTCTCGTGAAACAGGCTGATGGTGTAGAGTGGGAGCGCGAACTGCTAGCGGCCACTCAAGATGCAGAATGGCGATGTGCGGCAAACAATGCAAGAGCTCCTTGGGGTTGTCAATGGTTCGAGGAATGGCGGAAGAATGTCCACAGGGCAGTGGAGCTCGGGCAGACCCTGCACGTATTTTATTTCGAAGGTATGAAAGGGCAAGGCAAAATGCATTGGAACCAGCTGTGCAACGAGGGGGCCAAGGAAGAGTCTCGGAAGTGCAGTGGCCTTGGCGCTTCTCAGACGGCCGAAGTCGCCTACCTTGACAAGATGGGCTTCTCTTACATGGAGCACGACGTCTTGGAGCTCGAGGCATATTTGCTCCAATCGTTTCTTTGTGCTTATCATTTGCTTCTTCTTCAAGCCTAAATTCCCAATCGCGAAACGAGAGGGTTGCCTCGAGCCACTATCGGTTTAGATGCTTAGGTGAGGCATTGCGCTGGCACCAAGCACGGCGCTCTGGTTCTTGAATTTCACTTTATTTAGTCATGAGGGCCCGTAGTTATCCGTAGTTCATGTCTGTTGCTCACGAAGGCGTTTTTGGCCACGGGCTTCTTCTTGACGAGCGCTTCCAAGCGAATCGCTTTTCCTGGACGGATCAGTGAACGCTCCAAGGACTGTGTGGTTTCGTTCCCTGGAAAATATAGTCATGAGTGGGACGCAGCAGTCTCAGCAGCTAGCAAGCAACAAGACGACATGTCGTTGGCCTGTGTCTTTCTGACGGACAGGGCCTCCGGTCTGGGATTGCACGCCGATAATCCAGACACGCCAGGCAAGTGCTGGTGCCATGCCATTTATGGTAGAATGGCGGCGAAAGACTACGTCAGCAAGGTTGATCTTAGCAAGGCCACGAGGGAAGAGCTGGAATTCAAGACAGCTGATGCCGAAGCTATGGGGCTGTGTTTAGTTGTCAAGACCCAAGCTGACACAGAGTTGAAGTGGCGTGCGAAGGTGCAGATGGCCACTCAAGATGCAGAATGGCGATGTGCGGCAAACAATGCAAGAGCTCCTTGGGGTTGTCAATGGTTCGAGGAATGGCGGAAGAATGTCCACAGGGCAGTGGAGCTCGAGCAGACCCTGCACGTATTTTATTTCGAAGGTATGAAAGGGCAAGGCAAAATGCATTGGAACCAGCTGTGCAACGAGGGGGCCAAGGAAGAGTCTCGGAAGTGCAGTGGCCTTGGCGCTTCTCAGACGGCCGAAGTCGCCTACCTTGACAAGATGGGCTTCTCTTACATTGAACATGATATCACGGAGTTTGAGCCTATGCTTCAGAGTGCATTCGGCCGCTTCCAGGCTGCTGTGCGCCGTTCAATACATAGGCTTGCCAGCTTGCTGACGCAACCGAACCTTTTTGAGGAATGATGATGCCGCGCACTAAGCACTAGTACTTGGAGACCTCGAGCAACGCCACCCCGCACAAAAGTTTGGCCTCAGGGCATGCAACGGGGACATACTCACATCAAGAAGTTGATGGATCTACCTGGGATACGATGTTCTCTAAGGCTGCGTGTTGTTGGCATGCGGCGTGGGTTCCACACGATCGGGGAGGTGTCTTTTGTGCTCACGATTTGGCTCCATGCGATCATCATGATCGAATCATATTTTAGGGGTAACGGTGCGCAGTTGGCACTTGCAAGTGTCAGGGGCAGAAATGTCAGCGTCGTGTCGTTTTGTGCCGTGTGGTGTGCTGGGAAAGGCGAGGCACATCCCCAGTTCGGCTCGCCGGTGCTTTGCTCAAATGCGTCAACGCTCTATAGAGGCAAACTCATAGGGAAAAATGGTTCACGATGCGTCCTCTCAACATTGCAGCACATCTGGGCATCCCCCCTTGACACCCTAAGCTTTACATCCAAAGATCTAAACCCTGAAGGCCCTAAACCCGCAACCCTGCCCTTCTCCCCATGAAAAAAGGAACACCCCAAGAAAAAAGCAGTCACAATTCGCGCAGTTTCGGCTCACTTTTGGGGACGCGTAGGGGAGGGCGTTGTTGCGCAGCAACATGCCGAGCGTCCCAGGCCCTCTTGCTGAGCGATGCCGGGCCATCCTTATTTACCCGAGTTTGTCGTAGCGATGCTCTTTCGGTTTAGGGTTTACGGTTTAGGGTTTAGGGTTTAGGGTTTAGGGTTTCGAGGGGTTACAAGATGTGTAACTGTGCTTCCTAGCAGATTGTGGAGTTTCACCCCTTCGTAAAGTGGAAACCTTGAGAAGGGGAGGACATTCGGTCTCCACACGTGTGTAGGCTGTAGGTTGGGTTTTAGGGTTTAGGGCCTCAGGGCTGTGATTTCTCGACGTTTCCGGTCTCAGCGTTTGTTGCAGGTTGTGCAGTGGCCTTGGCGGCCGACCTTTGACGAGAGCTTTAGCGTGTTGGTCGCCCAGTGGTACCCTTTTCCCTTTTTTGGGGTTCAAGGTTCCCTTATAAAGTAAGCAACACAAAAAAGGGTGCCCTTATTATCATATGGTTAGTGGGCTACTAAGGCATTGTCCAGGACAAGATCTGGCGAGGTCTTTGGCATCGACCGCCTTGAGGAAAAAGCCAAAGCTCTGCCGCCCAACTTGAAATTTGGATCCGAAATCCTCAACCCTAAATCCGAAACCCTAAACCCTAAACCCTAAACCCTAAGGTCCTTGGGAGTTCTCGTCCCCCCATGTGTTGACTCCTCCAGCTTAGGCCGCCCTGGTGTCCTATATTGGGGACACGTTCGGGTGTGCGCGAGTGCGAGCAGAAGCTACTCCGGAGTGAACGAGCTTGGTGGCCTTGTCGAGCCACACGGGCGGAGCTTCAAAAGCTGTATTCGGTGGAGGAGAACAGAAGTTGCAGTTGCTGCAGGTGCTTTTGGCGACCCAAAGCAGCTGCCCCGGCTCCAACGAAGCATCGAAGGCCTTTCGCTGCGAGGCGTCGCGTGTTCGCTTGGTTCACAGCCTTGAGAAGTTGAGGAAGCCGCTTTGAGAGCGCAGGCGTCTGTGCAGTGAGCTCCGCAAAGTGTGCGAGATGACTCAGACTTGGACACCCAAAAGGCAGATCCCCCCCCACTCCATCTGACAAGAGGTGCCAGTTTAGCTGCTGGAAGGGCTGAGCAGATTGCAAGGGAACGAATCGCGTGTCGCGTGTGAGGCAGTTAGGATTGCCCTGCGAAAGGCGAGCCCGGACCTAGGCAAGATGGCCAGGGCCAGATAAACCCAAGCAGGGCGCGGCCTCCACACCAGTGTCACTTTAGAAAAACCACCGAAAACACCTCTGCAAAGTTCAGGGCTTCTGTTCAGTCTGTTCAGAGTCGCTTCAGCCCCCAAAGCGCCACCATGAGCTAGGGCCATGTGAGGTGGCGATGCTGTGGGGTCGTTTCAGCATGCTTCGGAAGGGAGTCGGCCCAGTCCGGTTCTGCCCGTTCTCCCGGCCTTCCCCCATGCAAGAAGATGCAAGCTTGAGTGACCCTAAACCCTAAACCCCTAAACCCTAAACCCTAAACCCTAAAGCCTCCTTGAGGGCACGCCCATGCAAGCTGGCGGCACCGCTTATCAAAGCCCAGCCCTGCTCTCGCATGCACACTGGATGGCGGCTATGTCCAGCTTCCATGTCTAGGAAGACCCCTGCGGCACGCAAAGGATGTGCTGGCTCATGCCTGCTGTTGCAGCTGGCAGCACAGGCGGCTTAGACTCAGCGCTCCTCATGTCCAAAGGCTGAAGCCTCTTGGCACAGCTCGCACCACGAGAGGGTGACAGCCCTCCAGCTCGAGGGAATCAGAGAATCGGAGTGTAGCTAAAGTTGGGTCTAAGGCCGTCGTCATGTCGCCGAGGTCGTCGGGTCAAGGTTGAGTAGTCATTGCTCCCGCTGCTCCCGCTGTTAACGGGCAAGCCCGAAAGGCCTGAACCAAAACAAAAGACATCTACCTGAGCTTGTGAGGGGAACTCTTGTGAGGCCTTCAACGGCAAGTGAGGTCGCGGGTCCTTAGGGCCGTGCTCCAGCTATCCCACTCTGCCTGGAGGTCCTCGCGGTCCTTGCCTGTACGCTCTCTTGCGTAGGCCGCCTGAAGGGGAAGACGCACGTCTGCTGCAGCGTCCGCTTCGGGGTGCTCCTCAAAGATGCTAGAGTGGAGTGCAATCTGAGCTGGTTTAAACGGTTGAAGCCCTGCAAGGCGCTCCATCTCAAACTTGGGCTTCGAGTGCAGATGAAGACTCGGTAACTTAAGGGCGCAAGGACAGGTGCACAGCTTCACCTACCCTGATTCCACCATACTCTCAGCCACATAGATGAGGTCGGCATATCCAGTTTGGCTCATCATGCGCGGCTCCAGTGGCACCGAAGCCACCTCATCCATGCCATATTCGCTTGAAGCACATGGGCACAGTGTGCTCCCCACCAAAGGTGGAATGGCGGCTCTGACTAGGCGACACCGTCTAGGCGTTTTAGATAGCATCGGTGTGGCAAGGGTCCTGTAAGAAATGTCTTTGCTTTTCAGGTGCATTCTGCCTCTGACCTGATCGCCTACCACGATCTTGACCTATCGAGACAACTTCAACTCATCTTGGAATCATGCGAAGCGTTCCATATCCGTCCTCCCATAGACATCCGCAGGAACATACTTGGCCCTTGAACACATCTGGGACGGTTTGTGGAGCTGTGGCTACTTCCGCCTCGGCACTTTCATCGCACCACTCTCTGCAGCTTCCCACATGCGCTGGGACTGCTAACCCTAAACCCGAAACCCTAAACCGTGTATGATGCTCCCTCCATGCGGGCGCTCTGCAATGCAAGCAGAATTCGGACCTCCGCCTCCTCCTCCGCCTCCGCGCCATCCTGCCAGAGCCTCAGGGTTTTGGGGTTTGGGGTTTAGGGTTTAGGGTTTAGGGCTTAGGGTTTAGGGTTTAGGGTTTAGGGGCCAGGGTTTAGGGTTTAGGGTCTAGGGTTTGGGGTTTAGGGTTTAGGGAGTAGGGGCTAGGGTTTAGGGCCTCGGCGTGTTGCTGGGATCCATTGGAAATCAGGACTCTGTGGGTTTTCTCTGGGAGGTTGCTGTGAAGCACAGATGTCAGCTCGAAGCCACCGTAGGGGTGCCTTAGCTTATAGGGTTCTTAAGGGGGGGGAGGTTCAAACAGGGTACCTAGGGAACCTTAGGGAAGCTTAGGGAGGCTTAGGGAGTAGTGGGGAGTATTAGGGAACCTTGGGTTACCTACCCCCCTTGAATCCCCCTCAAGAACCCCATAATTAGCAAACAGCCTGGCATCTATCAAAGGTATCTTTGGTTGCCACAGATTCTCCACTGGTTGCACCCGGCCTGGTACCTGCAGGTCTCTTCAGCGTAACATGGACATGAAGCACATCGGCCATGTGACAATGCGCCTCGGATTCTGGAAGCTTAGGGGAGTCTAACCTTTGTGGTACTTTGCTGTAACTTTAGATCCTTACCCTTTTTGGTTTATTGGGTTTCTGATTAAGGCAGCTAAAGGTTTAATTTATAGCTACCCTCCTGAGTGCAGCCAAGTAACGGTGAACTTTCTGCATGTTTCGGAGGGCTTCTTCTTTGGCTTGAGGCCCTGGAAGGTGTCGGCTTGTTCATCGTGAGATATTCTTGAACTTGGTTTCTGTGTTTCTGTGACATGTTGAGCGCGCTGGAGCGTGTACGCATGCCGCGGTCGACGTGCTCACGAAACGAAGCCAAGCAGGGTGTTGTTCAAGTCGACCTGTTCACAGGCCTCTACTGCAGTATAGTTTCATCCCCTCCCCCTATTATTAAACCTCCCCTAATTAACCCCCAGTATTCAATACTCCCATTGTAGTTATGTTGGGCATTGCGGCCGCGTTCCGCGACTGCAGGCCGAGTACGCCCGAGTACGCCCGAGTACGCCCGAGTATGCCCGAGTACGCCCGAGTGCGCCCGAGTACGCCCGAGTGCGCCCGAGTGCGCCCGAGTACGCCCGAGTGCGCCCGAGTACGCCCGAGTACGCCCGAGTACGCCCGAGTGCGCCCGAGTACGCCCGAGTACGCCCGAGTACGCCCGAGTCATACCCGGTCATACCCGGTCATACCCGGGCATGCCCGGTCATGCCCGGTCATACCCGGTCATACCCCGTCATACCCGGTCATACCCGGTCATACCCGGTCATACCCGGTCATACCCGGGCATACCCGGTCATACCCGGGCATACCCGGTCATACCGGGTGTCATACCCGGTCATACCCGGGCATACCATCCCGTGGTTTTCCGCAGTCGCGTTTTCCCGTCACAGTGATATTGGGGTCAATATGATGTAGGGGGAAGGGATTATCTTTTACACACCTTTTTGTTGTAGTCCCCCAGACTCAACAGCAGCTCCAAGAAGCAAGACTGTGGGTGAACCTGAAACCCAGACCCCCCAACCTCCTATCCCCA